ACACTTACCAGTAACAGTGGTAAAATCATGAGAATTCATATAGTGCTTTGAGATCTTCAAAAGCAATTGCAACACAAAGCCAAAATTGCTCTAGTTTCCCTTAGTAAAAACAGGTGCACAATGAAAGGACAATTCCTCTTCCATTACCTAGAGAAAAACCTCCTTGGGCATCACCTGAGAGAGATGAGAACTCCCCCAGGCAGATCTGTCTTACACACACTTTGGTGACAAGCATGCGTGCTGCCTCCTGTTTTTTTTACTGGAGATAAGAAAAGGCACCATTTTTTTAAGGGAACCAGAGGGGCTGATGGCACATTTTCATGTATGTTCTGCTTGTAATAACATTTAATTTCCAACCCAAGTAATACTAGAAATATTGAATGTGGTTACAGCCTTAATAATATATATATAAATACAAGTACTCCCTACAGTGTCTGCCATCCAAATAATGCATAAATGGAATAGTGCCCAGACTTGGTGAGATAATATAAACAAAATTAGAAACAAAACCAGTAAAGCCACACTGTCCATTTAGAAAACAAACAGTACAAGATGATAGAAGAGATCGGTTAGAAATATTCTATGCAACTCAGAATATCCCTAGCAACAAGAAATGTGTTGGTTTACTCTCTGGTGATCTGAGAGCATTCCCTGGAACCATTCTGCAGAGACTCATACACTACAAGAAATCACATGGGCTTGTGACAAATGTAACTCAATACAGATTTTGTCCCTTTTAAATTTCTGAGAGGTTTAGAACAGTTCGTACAGGTCACTGGCTGCTTCCCAGCCCTGAACACTTCACCAGGTTTGGCAGGTTTCAAAAAGACTGTTGCCATAGGAGCAGAGAGCCATGCCAAGGAAGAGAGTGCCACCAAGACTACTGACTAGCTGCTCTGTGCCCACTTCTTTGTTCAGATGAAGTGGATCCAGCTCTCCTCACATTCTCTTGGCACCTTAAGGGGGTGAGTCCGGCAGGTGAGAGTGTAGTTCTTGCCTCTGTTGTTATCCCAGTACTCTTGGCCATTGACTTGGTACCTTGCTGCAAACTGGACAAGAGAGGACAGCTGAAGGAGGAAAGGAGGCACAGGAAGAAAGAAAGTGAAAACATCAACCTGCTCCTGCCCATTTTTCTCTGGGATACTCCTGTGCCAACGAGCACACACCTCATGGAGGCTCTCCCACTGGTTGAAGGTGTATCTCACAGACACTCTCTTCTCAAAGGCAACATTGCAAACGTGGATGGTGCCACTGAGCCCCAGATCTGAGCTGGTCACTCGTTCCAGACACACCAGCTGCTCCTGGAGTCGGGAAGAGAAATCCACACAGTCTGCAGGCTGCTGGAAGTCGGGGACCAAGCACTGCATAGTAAACTCCAAGTTCGAGTTGCTGTACCAGAGGTCTGAGTTAATGGAGAGCCTGGAAAGGACATGCAAGGGGATGGATGGATCCTCCCCAGACTGGAAGACTTTGACTTCAGTGAGCTCCAAACCCAAAGCATCAGCAAACCTCACCCTGTTCATACGGCTCTGGCACTGCAGTGCTGCTCTCTTCCTCCGCTCGGGAGACGTGGGCAAAGACCTCGCCCGGCGCCGTATGATGGGCCGCAGGGCTGGATCACAGCTGGAGAAACTGCTGCTCTGCAGCTTATCTGGCTGAGGGCTCTCTTTGGCTGAGGTAATGCTCCGAAAAGTCGTGCTGCTACTTGTCTGCAGTGCTGGGGGCTGCTGCTGCCCTCGTGCCACTGCTTCCTGAGCCCTCAACATGTTCTGATAGAGATCAGAGAGGTAGCTGGGATTTCTGCGAGGCCCACGCACTTCCATTCTGAACAGATGATAACAGAGTTAACACTGCAGGTAAATAATGAGCACTGCCCCTCTGAAGTACTTAGTGTGGGAATGGCAGCCACACAGGAAAGATTTGACGTTATTGCACTGGATACAGCAAGAACCAACAGGAACAGCGCTGCCTTCCGAAGGAAGAGCAGAAACCTGGAAGCTCTCACGGCAGCTGGAGGCAAACCAGCAATTCGGGCGCTGTGTGCGGGGATGAGGGCAAGTCTCCCTGGCCGATAAACTCCAGGTCGCTGTGCTGACTGGTAGCTCCAAGGCTCAGGCTGGAAAGGGATTCGAGGCTATCCCCGCTGATACTGGAGGAGCTCATGCAGAGGCTGGAGAGCGACTGGAGGCTGTCGTGCTGGATGCCGAAGGACTCCAGGCTGTCGGGGAGGTCGCTGGATGCCTGGCGCGCCCCGAAGCAGCGCGGGCCGGCACACAGGGCGAGAGGCGCCTGCAGGCTGTCCTCGCTCACTCCGAGCGAGCACA